AGCACATGAATCATAAAGTTAAAATACATCTCAAACAAATTTGTAATAGAAAATAAGCTGATGAACATCAAATTGGAAGAATGAAAAAAAAAAAAAGAAGCATAGACACAAGAGCTGTCTTGACAACCGCTGGTATCAATCATGAGGCTGAAATCTGTTCCAAAATCTTCTGTTAGCATGTTTAATACTAAATTATTTCATCTTAAATGGAAGACCAAGAAGGAGCTAGAATTCTGGTATTACACAAACAATACAGATACTTTCTTAAACTAACACTGGCTATGAACAAATTCACAAAATGAAAGTGGGGACCCAAAAAAAAATATATCTTCCGGCATTACGGCCTTTGAGGTTTACTGCTGCAGACATCACCCACCTCCATTCATCTGTGACTAGCTTTCTCTTTCCACTGGTGACTTACACGTGTTTGTATTATGCCTGGATATTATCTTTCTTTATAGTTAGCCTCACAGTCTACTCCCACATATTTGTTATATCTCTGTTGTCTGTCATTCTCTCTATTTGTACTAACCATAATTTTTTTTTTTAAATTGGCAATGTTAAATATTTTGAAATATTTATGAAGTGACTGAACGCATTTTACTAAAGACTGGACTGATTATTCCAATCCAATAAGTGCTCATCAAAAACTTATTTTCAAAAACAGGATTAGTAATAAACACTCAGTCATTTGGAGATTTCTTAACTTCACAAGAAACATCTGTTGGCATTCAAAAAGTGCTTTTATCATAGAAGAACACAATTAACATGAGATGGAACAAATAATGCATTTAGCAATCAATGAGGACAAAAATACTCCACAAAGCAATGCTATGTCATGACATAGTTGCCGGACAGAATGGTTGGGAAGGAGGAATTTTTCATGACAAATTAGGACAGTTCAACAGACAATTTAAGACAGACTTGGTTAAAACAGATCAGCAGACACAAAGCAGATCAGCAGAAAAATTACAGACAGATCAGCAGAAAAGCTAGGATTAGCTAGGATAGATCAGCAAGAGACATCAGAAGGGAAGCTAAATCCATGCAAAAGGATCAAGCCACATTAAAATATGATTCCCAAGCTGAAATAAGATATTTTTACCTGGAATCTGACATTCATAAAAAAATAATTTTTCTTGTTCTCCTTCCATGATTGCAGGATTTATGATTTAAACATCTCCAGGATGAGAATCACTATCTCTCAGTCCTTAAGAAAGAGAATAGGGGCTTTTGAGCTGAAATGCTATAGAAAGATTCTCAGAATATCTAGGACAAAGAAGATGAGAAATATTGACATCTTAAAAGATCTGAACATCAAGGAAGATTGGCTAATAAACAGCATCCTTCCTTTAAAGCTGAAATATTTTGGTCATATCAAGCGCCACTATGGATTGGAAAAAAATTATAGCAGAAGGCATGGTACCAGGAAGGAGGAGCAGGAGCTGACCGACACAAAGATGGGCAAGACTCAAGTATGTGCCATATTCATTCAATCACATACTAGATGTATTAATATCAAAGATTGTCAAACATCTTGGAGGATCTAACGAAGACCCATCTGTCAACATCCTAAATGAGGACCTGTCAGTCAACATTCTAAATGAGGACCTGTCTGTCAACATCTTAAATGAGGACCTGTCAGTCAACATTCTAAATGAGGACCTGTCAGTCAACATCCTAAATGAGGACCTGTCAGTCAACATCCTAAATGAGGACCTGTCTGTCAACATCTTAAATGAGGACCTGTCTGTCAACATCTTAAATGAAGACCTGTCTGTCAACATCCTAAATGAGGACCTGTCTGTCAACATCCTAAATGAGGACCTGTCAGTCAACATCCTAAATGAGGGACCTGTCAGTCAACATCCTAAACGAGGACCTGTCTGTCAACATCCTAAACGAGGACCCGTCTTGTAAACGACAGGATTTCATTACGGAAAAATTATTTTCAACAGTTTGTTGTAGATAACATCAGGAGCATTGACAGCCCAGATGAAGTCCAAATGCTCATAGTAATCAATATTTACATCAAGCGATACGTTCAACTGCGGCAGAAGCCAAGCAACATCTTCTGGATCTGCAAGCCAATCATGTCCACCTCTAAAAATAGCAACTGGAACTTTGACCTTTGTGGGGTCATAGAGCGGCGGTGTGGTCTGGAAATAAAGCAGAAGACAACCTTGTTGTTTGTTAATTTTGCCAACAAACATCAGATACTTAAGGGAAAACATGGGAATAACAAAATGTCTTGAGCCTCTGATTGAGAATTTCATTAGAATTAAAACTAGGTATGCACAAAAACTCGCCTGCCAGCCCAAAGGTTTGTATTTGAAACTACACTGAGACCTTGTCACCCAGGTAGACCCTGTCGCCCAGGTAGACCTTGTCGCCCAGGTGGACCTTGTCGCCCAGGTGGACCCTGCTAAAATTTGCACCAGGTAAAGTCCTGCAAAGTAAAGGGGATTCATAACAATTCCCTCCCCCCCCCCCCCTCTTACCCAGGTGATGTGATTATTTATACAGATAGCTCTGTGTTGAGAGGCAGAAGAAGTGCATAGGCATTCAAAGTATAATCAAACGGTAGTCACTTAGTGCAGCAAAGCCTGGCATATGATACAACTTGTAGTCTGAGAATAGAGGTGGAGGCAATCGACGCTGTTTTTACTGTCTTGAGAACCAGCTGCATGCTAACGGGGTAACTAACTCACTCACAGAACATGAGAAAGGTGGAAACAGATGCTCCATGCAGAGTGGCAAGCATCTATTCAGATGTCCAGGGCAGTTAGCGTCCTTTGGATATTTTCTCCAGGTAATGCCTGAGTGTTAGGAAATGAACAGCCAGATATACTGGCTGGTTCTCCACCATTTGGTGAACTGATGTATGATAAATTAGATGTTGTAAGGGTTCTTTGGAAGAGAGTGAACAGCGAGGAGACACACACATTTAATTAATGTCTCAGGAGCTGCGAGGAGTCAGCAGGGGATCTGAATGATGCTCAACAGTAAAAGAAAGGCTAGACTGGTATACAACCAGTTACTGGCGCCATCAGAATTGGAACTCTCTCCTTGCTGCTGAAGATGGGGACGGAGCATACCATCCATAAAGTAGCAATTACAATAACATTACAAATGCAAATATGATTGTAGCATCATATGCCTGAGACAAAAATTTCTTTTACTTAGGGGTCAAAAGAAAAGAACTTACATATAGGGTGGATCAAAAGGAAAGAACTTAGAGATAGGATGGATCAAAAGGAAAGAACTTACAAACAGGGTGGATCAAAAGGAAAGAACCTAAATATAGGGTGGATCAAAAGTTTAAAAAAAAAATACTTTTAGTGTGGATTAAAAGGAAAGAACTTAACAGTTAGGGTGGATCAAAAGGACAGAATTTACATACAGGGTGGATCAAAAGGAAAGAGCTTACAAATAGGGTGGATCAAAAGGACAAACTTATAGGATGGATCAAAAGGAAAGAACTTACATATAGGGCAGATAAAAATGAAAGAACTTACATATAAAGCAGATCAAAATGAAAGACCCTACATATAGGGTGGATCGAAAGGAAAGAACTTACATATAGGGTGGATCAAAAGGAAAGAACTTACATATGGGTGGATCAAAAGGAAAGAACTTACATATAGGGTGGATCAAAAAGAAAGAACTTACATATAGGGTGGATTAAAAGGAAAGAAATTACCATTTAGGATAGATCAAAAGGAAAGAACACATACAGGGTGGATCAAAAGGAAACAACTTACATATAGAGTGGATCAAAAGGAAAAACATAGGATGGATCAAAAGGAAATAACTCACATATAAGGTGGCTCAAAAGGAAAAAACTTACATATAGTGCAGATCAAAATAAAAGAACTTACATATAAAGCAGATCAAAAGGAAAGAACTTACATATGGGTGGATCAAAAAGAGAAAACTTACATATAGGGTTAATCAAAAGGAAAGAATTTACATAAAGGGTGGATCAAAAATGTCTATCCTTTAGGATGTGGTCTCAATTCACAGACCATTCCTCAAATAAAATTTTTTTTTTTAAATCAGTGATTTGATGTCTCCTGTGCTCATACTTATCAATATTTTGACTGGATCTACCTTGGGGGGGGGGGGGGGGGGGGGGGGGGGGGGGGGGGGGGGGGGGGGGGGGGAGGGGGAGGGGGCTCCCCATCTGCAATTTCATTACCATATATTCCCACATGAGCAGGTATCCACACAACCAGCGCTGAGCATCCTCGTGTGTTCAGATATGTGGTAGCCAGAAAAATCTAGCAGATTTAATTTAGAACGCTTGTCAACTATGCACAAAGTGGTGGTGTGTGTTTTGAACTGCAGATTCAGAAAATGATTAAATGACACATTGTCACAGAACTAATAGTGCCTTATGCGATTAACTATATGTGTAAATACTGATCTGTTGTAGCTGCTACTTCTGCTAACAATGAACCATCTGTCTAGTGCAGACTGCTTGTGTTGGCACTTCTGATGGCTGCCATTTAATGTATGTGAATACTACCGGCTTTGCCAGAACTGCAACCTGTGTCAGTTTTTTCACAAGGGACAACATTGGATATTCTCTATTGTTTCTGCTGGCACAACAAGGAAGCAGCCATGGAATGAGCCACTTGCTGAGAAGTTGGAACTTAGGTTTAGACAACAGATCAACACATGGCATAAGGAGTGACACATAAGTGCTCCATTCTACTTTTGACTCAACCATAAGACTAAAGAATCGCAGTGCAGAACTCTGTAGCACTGGCGAGGATCCTGACTATAATTGGAATAATTACTTGATTACCTATCAGTAAAGGTTCTCAGCACATAAAGATTTAAACACAACCTGATAACACTTAATAATCAAGTACAACAATTTAACTAATATAATCATGAACATTCAACAAAGGGCTTTGAGTGAGCTGTCTCATGGCTAATGCTCAATTAGATTAAATTAAAGAAGAAATTATGAAAATGAAAATTATAAATACCTGATTATAGTGCACCATATTTTGTTTAGCAGAGCCGTAATCAAAATGCTGGAATGTCTTTGAGTTAATCATCTGAAAAATTAATCAGCATTATTAATCACTGGCCCTCAAGTCGACCCAGCCTAGAGTGGGTACCCTGTACAGTCCTAGGAAGTAAAGGCGGTTGGCGTGTTGCTGACCACATTACCCACCAAGTGCCGTTTGGTCTATAAAATATAGATCTAGCCCTATTTACCCAATACGCCCGAAGGCATGGAAAGATTACTTTTACTTTGCTTATTATTAATCACTTCCAAACATGCCTGAGTGTGTGTGTGTGTGTGTGTGTGTGTATGTGTATGCCTGCATGTGTTTGTTCTGTAGTAGAACAAGTACAAAGACGTAACAAAACATGCTGTTGTCAAAACTGCCTGTGACGCAAGAGTTCAGAAGTTTTTGCTTGGTTGTTTTTTCCGCTAAAACTTTTATTTTTATTCGTCAATGTTTAATCCAGCGGGGCCTTAATCCAGCGTGGCCTTATTTATCCCCAATAACACTATCAACCAATGATAAATTCTGGTAGCAGACTGATGGTGGTGGCACCTCTAGTTGCTGCCTTATGCAATTATTGCAAGAGCATGTCTCTAAATTTTGCCAGATCTAATTGTTTCTTCACTAGTTTTTTTTGTTTTTTTAAAAAGAACAGGGAAGCGAATTTTTTAAATTTCAATTGGCACAGGAATGGAACAAATATGGGATGAAGTGCAGTGAAGTGGAAATCTTGACAACCAACAACCTAGTAACAACCATCTCAAACACTGACCCTGGCTATCATGTTCATCCAGTCAACTAAACATTTGTATCACCTCTATGCACCCGGCTCTCTAGCGTAGTTGGCTAAACCGGATTGCGCGGTGACCGGGTGACGAACTCCTTTTGGTCCGGGTTCACTCCCGGGGGTAGGCAGAAAAGCCACATTTCTCCCAGATTTACGGTATTAACAATGGAATCAAGGCTGAAAGGTTGCGATATCCATAATACCGACGATATCCATAATACCGAGCCTAAGGGTTAACTACTCATGGCTTCTGGATACTAAAACAAACAAACAAACAAATATCACCTCTATGCCAATAATGCTGAACTTGCATACTGACAAAATTAACATTAAAAAATGACTTCTTCTTCTTCTTCTTCGCATTCATCGGCTGTAAAGTCCAGGGAAAAGTTCTGGTTGTTCATCCACTTCTGGACTTCTGTTTCAGAAACTAAGTGTTGCGTGCACATCCATTTCACAGGTCTGATTAACTTCTGTGCAGACTGTTGGTTCCTTGCCTATCAGGCTGATCTACAACTTAGAAGGAAGCTCCCAATTAGTCAACTCTTATGACATGCCTTTGGGCAAGTAGTGGCTCTTTTCTTGTTGTTCCCCCACAATGAAGCCCTGGAACCCATACGGGGGAAATGACAACTGATATGGCATTCCTGAGAACAGTGTTAAACTTTAGACTATCAGAAATGATGGTGGAATCCAAGAGGGGGAAAGGGAGAGGTGGTGGCGGGGGGGGGGGGGGGGGGGGGGGGGTCCATGTAATTGGTTAAAGCAAATAATTCCCCTGAAAACCCGATACATGAAGGACACCAAAAAAAAGAACCCACAATGTTTACCTATACACCACAAGAAAGAAGAGCATCAAGATGAAATAAGATCCATTGCAGAGATTTAAATACACAAAGAAAGAGCTTATAATCTTAGTTAACTTTTGGTACCAGAAGAAAGCACAATAGTTGTTTAAATAGTCTAACACTGACTACATCATCATCATCATCATCATCATCATCATCAGGTGCCTTGCCGACTGGCGTGGGCGATCATGCCTCTCCACAATCTGTGATCTCCTGCAGCATGTATCGGTTCGTGTGCTGACACCCCTCCATGCCATGCAACAAGACTCTCAAGAATCTTCTCTCGTTGACTTCCTCTATCCCTCTTTCCACAGATCTTTCCAGTGGTCACATGTTTTCCCTCTTCTCATAACATGGCCGAAAAATGATGACTGTCTTCTTCCGATGTCTGTGATATGTTGTCTTCGGGCTGCCGCCTCTTTCAAAACCTCTTGGTTGCACTTTTTGGATGTCCAAGGTATTCTAAGCATTCTTCTGTAAAACCTGACTACAATGAAAGAAAATGTGAGTATACCACTTATGCAGGATTACACTGTGTTGCTGGTCAAAATGACTTGCCAAATGTTAAAATGTTCAGACCAAATATAAATTGCATAATAACACACAAGTTTTTTTACTACCAAAAAAAAAAAAGATAATCCAGCAGTATGTTTTCTGGGATAGAAGGAGGCAAGCCACAGGACACAACATACAAAAGAGTAACAACACTGACAACATATGTTTACCTGAGCCCAGTGCAGTATGTCATGAACTGATGTACTTGAAGGGTTGTGAGCCACGTACACAGGAATTCTGGACTGAAAATAATATGTTTCTCTTAATTTCACAAGAGTTTTAGTCTGAACTACAGAAAAAAAGTAGTAACGGAAGTACAAGGAAAACAGACTAAAATGCAGGATCAAAATAAATGGGACATCCTGATGCAAGTTAATACGTTTAAGTACTTTGGTACCCAGATAATAGCAGAAGGAGAAAATTTTTTAATAGAATAAGCAAAGGCAGCAATTTACGAAAGAAAGAATGTTCTATGCAATCTTTCTTTGTCATCTGAGATGAGAAACAATTCTCAAGAGCTATACAGATCCTACCCTGATATACAGAAGTGAATCATGAACAGCTGGAAGATTGGTTTAAAATTATTTGCTGGAAGATTGGTTTAAAATTATTTGCTGGAAGATTGGTTTAAAATTATTTGCTGGAAGATTGGTTTAAAATTATTTGCTGGAAGATTGGTTTAAAATTATTTGCTGGAAGATTGGTTATCAATTTGCTCCAATTCTATAACACCCTGCTATCCCAACAGAGACAACAAGAAATTTAAAAAGTCTTACAGTGTTATGTTTACCTTGTTAAAAAACTTGTAATCGAAGCCACACAAAACAAACAAGAAGTTTTCACATAAAAGAGATCCCCACTTGCTGCAAAGGGACCCAGCCAGGAACCTCATGATTTCTGGATTGATGTTTATCTGGCCATGTCCGAAAATTTCTAGAAACACCTGCAAAATATATACATATAATAAAAACAACCAACAAGTTAAGTCAGATAATACTAAATGCAGTAGTGGTCTTAGCAATAGCAGCAGTAGTTAGTAGTAATACTAGCAGTCATCTCATTCTTCTGCTTCTTCGCGTTCACTGGCTGTAAACTCTGGCAGAAAGCTTTTTTTGTGTGTCCAGAACCTTAGTGTTGCGTGCATATCCACTTAACAGATCTGACTTAACTGTATGCAGATTGTTGGTTCCTGGCCTCTCGGGCAGATGAACTCCGACTTTAAAGGAAGCCCCTAATTATTCGTCTTGCAGCATACTTGCTGGGGATTCAGTGGGTCTATTCTTGTTTTCTCCAAAGTGGGGCCCTAAATCCCACACAAGGATCATAGTAGTAGTAAAAATAGCAGTAGCAGCAATAATGGTAGTAGCAACAAAGGCAGCAGCATTGGAGTAGTTGTTTCCAAAAGCCTAAAGAAAGCCTAACAAAATCATTTTCAACACTCTTATGATAAGCAGAATTCACTATATTTTAAGATAACGTGTGGTTTTCTATTTAATTCTTTTGGCTATTTAATGTTGTAAAAATTGTGCAAGGATTATCTTTTGTAAGATAATTTTCTTTTTTACTTTGTGAATCTATGTGTATATTAAATTTTGTTGTTGTTTTCAAGTAAGTGACTTAAAATTATAAGCATTTTGCTGGCATTCTGCTCATTAATACCATATACAGCAACTGTTGTCCTTGTCTACTGTTTAATATCCTAATGACAGCATCAACCATCTAACAAGGAGGGACCAGGCCACCATCTTCAGACTCAGAACACAAAATACTCCACTCAATGGACACCTAAACAGAATACAGCCACAACACTCCCCAGAGTTCCAGCTATGTAACTACCCCTATGAAACTGTTGACTAAGATCTCTTTGAGTGTCCAAAACTCAATGACACTAGAAGAATGCTACTCCCTCCGAGACCAGACAAGTAGAACAGCTCGTACGGAGGAAAAGAACAGCTTGTGAAGACATGTAAATTCCACTATATGGCATTGGGTCAAAGGGCGAAAGCTAATGCGCAGCTGGATCTATAACAACAACTGTTTTATATATGTTTTGCAGTTTTCTACAACTAATGTATTCAACATGTTTTCTATTACCATAAGAATTTTTAGCAGGAGGTTATATTTGTATATATTCAACTAGATTGCCCTGTGGAAATTGTTCATAGCATTCCTGGGTTGCATTTTAAGGAGGGAAAAAACAGTTCTAACACCCCTTCCCAAGCATGTCATAAAAAGCAACTAACAAAGGATTTGGTGAAACTGGATGTTTTGGGCTGAAAAGTGCTGATGTCTTAGCCTAGCTGTAAACTGTTGAACTGTGTTGAGTTGATTCAAGAACCAACATTGCAGCATTTGTGTATTCCCATAAGTGCTCCATCTCCCCCCCCCCCCCCTTTCTACCAGGGCAGAGTTCCAATACTAACGGTGCCAGTAGCATTCTGATTATATGTCTGTGTTGCCTTTCCTCTGAGTGGTGAGCCTCAGCCAGAACCCCTTGCCACAGCCAGTTGCATCACTCACCAGACTGTGGTGATCCATTTGCTCCACCAAAGTGCACACGCTATTTCATCAAGCTGTTCAGAGCCAGCTAGTCTGTTCGTCGGAATTCACAGCCGGGGAATGAAGAAGAAGATTTCCCAACACACCGGCATTCCCCAAAGGAAAGATCCAGACAATACTCATCACCCATGACCACCCCAGCAAAGCATGCCACTCTGCACATAGCATGCCTGTCCTGACCCTCAGCAAGCTTTCTGAGTCAGTTATAATCATTGTATGTGTGCTGTGAACACAAGATGCCATCTTTCCTTTTAAGGGTGATCACAGATGACAGTTAACTAAATGATGTGGACAAGTTACTATCTAATCATTTACCTCAATTTCTTTTGCAACAGGAGCAAGTAGACGCATGGGTGACTTGGTGTTTGCAATCCGAGCTACCGGCGCCAGTGCAATAAACTGTTTGATCTTGGCAGCCACCTCTTCATTCTCACCAAAGGCAATGAAGCCAATGGTAGTTCCTTGAGAGTGCCCTACGTAATAAACCTGTTCAACTCCGGATGTGGCCACAACAAAATTGACCATTGCTGGAACATCATATGCGCCCATTTCATCAAAACTGAAACATAAGCGGTGGAACAAATAAGCAATTGTTCCTCTGAAATAATAAATCATCATGTACAGGGCTTTTCCAGAAAATAGGCTGCCAGTACTCACCACATTTATCATCATCATCATTATTTTGCACTTACACTGTTAACTCTTTGAGTCCCAGGGGGTTTAGCATCACAGGCCCAGGGGGTAGTAAAGAAAATAATAAAATCGGCGCATCATGCGTTCATTGAGCTTCTAGGTAGGAACATATGAACGTATGATGCGTTCCTTGGGACTCAAAGAGTTAAGTGTTGTGGGGAGGAACGGTTTGCGATCCACTGCTTGATGGGCAGCCATGATTATTGTCCTTCCGCTCTTTAATGTCATCAATCCATCTTCTCCTAGGGCGACCTCTTGCGTTCACTAAAGATCTATTCATGTGTAGCGCCTGCATTGGTAGTTGTCCTGGCTGCACTCTTACTAAATGACCAAACCATTTGATTTTATGTTTCTCAATGAATTTGCTGCACGGGGGTTGTTCCTATAGTCTGTCTGACAATATCATTTATAACTTTGTCTCGGATGGTAAATTTGGCAGCTTTTCTCAGGCATCTCATTTCTCAGGTGGTAATTTCGTGTAGGTTAGTCTTTGATGGTAGCACAGTGTTGGTATTAATATGCTGTGTATAACCTTTTTCTTGATGCTAATACTTATGTTTGGATGTCTTAATAGTGGTGTTAGTTGGTATATAAGTGCACTGGCTCTTTGGCATCTTGTTTCTATTTCCCGATCTATTCTTTCATCCTCCTAGAATATACTTCCTAGATATTTGAATTCTCTGACTTGCTTCAGACAAGTACCATTCACCCTGATGTGTAGCGGACTAGGAAATCTACTGACATGCATGACTTCAATTTTGGTAGTATTTATTTTCATGTTACATCTTCTGAATGTTAAGTTTAGCCTGTATAAATGTTCTTCAAGTCTACTTCCCTCACTGTTGAACAGGCATTGATCGTCTGCAAATTGTAGCTCATTTATTGTGTGTGGATCTAATTCTTCCTCTGGAAAGTAAAGTTCCTCCTTTTCTGGATTTTCTGGGTCGACTGCTTTAAAGCTGGCTTCTTTAGATATTCCGTCGATGTATATAGTAAATAAGACAGGAGATAGCACACATCCCTGCCTCACCCCGGACTGACTGTAAACATACAAGACATGACTTCTTGTGTTTTTTCTGCCCTTTGGAAAGTGTTGTACATGGCCATGATGTTATCTAGCAACTGTCCTTGTACCCTGTTATCCTCAAGAACAGCTCATAGTTTGTTTCTATCTACTCTGTCCGACGCTTTTTCTTGGTCAAAATACAATATTCAGTTCATTGTCATATTCAGTGGTTTTCTCGCACACCTTTGTGTAAAAAATGCATCCACGTGACCTTTTCCCTTCCTGAAACTAAACTGTGATGTACTTAGGTTCCGCTATAGGTATAACTCTTTGTTCTAATAACTTTACATACATGTTCCCTATGTGGCTCAAAAGTGATATACATCTGTATGATGCAGAGTCTCTTTAATTACCTTTTCTTTTCAAAACTGGTATTATCAATGCCTGCAGCCGGTCAGGAGGAACTTTCCTTTCTTGCCATGCTGTATTGAAAATTCTTGTTAGCCATTTTATGCCAGTTCGACCACACGCTTGAATAGCTTCTATAGTTATTGCATCTAAATCAGGTGTTTTTCCTTTATAGCTCTTATGTAAAACAGCTTTTACTTCTGATGTTAAAAAGTTTGGTTCATGTTGGTCACTGTTTTTAGGCACAAAACTGATGTTATCTTTCTTGTTTTCAGGGTTAAGTAGCTCTTTAAAATATTCTGTCCACCTTGCTAGCCTTTGATGTGTATTAAATACAGGACTGTCTCTCTTGTTTGTTTATTATATTAGCTGCTGTGGAAAAAAAAAATGCTGCTTAAACAAAAGGTATTGCCTGACAGAAAAAGTCCTGGACATGAGACATGGGGGGTGGGGGGGGGGGGGGGGGGGGCTCCAAGGCGAGGCCATTTGCATCTGATTCTGATATCATGTGCTGCTTGGGTTAGTTCAAGAGTACAGTTTTTACAGAGGGAGATAAGTAGGTGGTGTCACTGGATCTATGAAGTTTGTGCTTTATGCTGGCAATGATCTTGCAGGCAGCTAGCCAAGCTTCTGAGATCACGCTGTATGGGATAGCAACCAGTAAAGTCAAGTAAATCCTCTTGATTATTAACTTTTAACTTTGAGAAATGTATAACAAAGGTACCAAAGGAGGAGTGGTCAGCGGAACAGTTAAGAATGCTGGTCTCTCGTGCAGGAGACCCAGATTTGACTCCATAGTATGATCGGGCATTTTTTTTTTCTCTATCAAGGACAAAAACATAATCATAACCCGCAATAGCCATGTGACCCTAAGTCAGGCTCAAGGAATCCCAACCCCCACACCGCAAAAGTAGTAAAACAGTAGTTTTCTTTTTCAAATGAAAAAATGAATTGAAGCCAGGCACCCATCACACCCAAAGGCAAGACAACTAGCCTTTACTAATATTTCTTTTATTAATATAAGGTCTCTAAGTCACATCCTGGCTTCACTTACAACATGCCAGCCCCTACTGTGTACTGACTTCATCTGTGCATCAAAATTTCTCTATGTATTACCTCCCATCCAATAGTGCTCCCACCCATTACACATCACTGATCCCTCTCGTTACACATCACTGATCCCACCCATTACACATCACTGATCCCTCTCTTTACACATCACTGATACCTGCATCCATTACACTGTGCACCGGATCTCGCTGCACACCAGCCCACTGCACCATCACTAGCTGAACATCAGCATTCAATGCACATAAGCACTCACTGCACACCAGCACCCGAAAAGCACTTATTAGACACTTGACTCTTCTCTGTTGTGTAATTAAAAGCAGCAAAGACTTAAAAACATACCTGAACTTCCAAAACTCTCTCTTTTTAGGATTCAACCTTGTGTGATTAGTGGAGTAGAAATTGCCTCTACTGTTCCCCAGCCAAACATCAGCACCAGCATCAGCCAGAATATATGCCAGACTCTCATTTACAGGATTTGACAGGAAGTGTGTACAACTACCCAGGAGGCCATGCTGCAAAATCACCACAGGTCTAGGGCCTGAAAAATAAAAATATCAAAATAAATTCATAACACTCAAATCATAATCTAGAAGATTAAATTGCCTTTTTCTTTTTTAGGTGTGTTTAGTACATTGTGTCGTGATTTATTTACAGCTAGGCTGTGGTAACTGCACCTTTCAGCGCAACACATTTTATTTCAGACAATCCTTTGCTCTTTTTTTTTAACAACATAGTTCTTAACGGGTAGTGGTTCTTTTCTTCAATTTGGTTCCCTGTGTGGATTCTTGGTGGTAATGACTTAGGACTGCGACTTGGATTTGGAGAGCGACGACTTAGTCCAACCTCTGCTAACACCTACACTGGGTTATCGAAAATTATATGCAACTAATAATTTCAAGGATAAATGGAAAGAAAATAGTTAAGCTAATTAACTTTAAAACAATATTTCTGCTGGTGTGTTGGGAAATGAGCAGATAGACTAGCTGGTTCTGCACCACTTGGTGGTGAATGATTTATGACAAGCTAGATGTTGGGGGACCTTTATGAACAAGTGAACAGTGCAGAGGCATAAGCAGATCATTACAGTCTGCGGAGAAAAGCATTGCAGACAGTTACCAGGTAATCTGGCCGACACTTAACACTCAAAGCAAAGGTAGAGAGTTACTAATAGCATCAGAAACGGAACTCTTTGCCATCTTTGCCTGATGCTTAAATGGGGATGGAGTGCTTATGGAAGTGTCCTGAATGCGATGATAGTGATTAGCAGCAAAGGTTATCACAGCTCTCTAGACAGATCCAAGAATGCACCAGTCTCCCTTCCACCAATAGCTCCAGAAGAATACAACTAATGGCCATGCCCATTGTTTGTTGATTAATCAAACGTGCCTTTAGTGAAATGTTTATGTCTGGTGGCTCATGCCTCACTTTCTTATATCCAACAACCTTGACAGGGATACGGAGTCATGCCTGTTGCCATAATTCCAAGAGGAACAGTAATGAAAACTTAAACTGATTGCTTCAGCTATCTTCTAATGGAACCATACAGCATTTACAGAAATCAGTTTGATTTTAGTGAAAGACCTTTGGTCCAGCAAGCAAGTGTCTAGTGTCCACATTACCCTGGCTTTTGACAGGCAGCAACAGCAGAAGACAAAAATACCTTTGACTACTTTATTAATACAAAACAGAATACAGAAGTCCAACAACATAAATTACCAAAAAGCACCACTTTTGAAGCAGCAAAATGACATGCACATAAAAAAGTATCTGTTAAATTTCTTCTTCTTCTTTCGTTCGCATGAAATAAATTGTCTATATCTGCAAAGCCGTCTCTAGTATGAATTTCAGTCTTTTGTAATTCACTAAGCAGCCCATAAAGTTTGACTTCCACAAGTGTCTCTTTTGGCCAAAGGTTTTGCCTGAAAGCGTTGAATCTGGGACAGTCTTGAAGGATGTGATCTGTTGTTTCGGGTGCCAGTCCACAAGTACACATGGCTGATTGGCCAATCTTAAATTTGTTGTACATGTGGGAGCGAAGTCGATTGTGCCCTGTTCTAAGGCGTATCTGTTAAATGTTCTACTAGTATCAACTCCGTGTTACCAATGCAAGATGTGGACATTTTTAGAAAAACACCACAAAATTACATGAGATGAGATGTATATAATAAATGTGGGAAAAATGAGAAGAGACAAGAGTCACCAATGAAGAACTAAGAACAATGGTACTGGTTAAATGATTTCACAAAATATCAAAGAATCAAATGATTTGGTCGTCTGATCAGAATGGAACACAATCAGCCAGCAGTTAGAGCGCACAACATGAGAACAGAAGGCTAAAAGGCAGGAGGCCAACCAAGAAAGAGGGGTGGAGGGAGTAAGAGACAACCAAGAAACAAGATGACATTAACATAAGCTGCACAACTAGCAAAAGATTGGAAATTACATCTAACTTCTCTCTTTCTGCGATGCTTTATGGTTCAAGCAGTAAGACAAAAGAAAAAAGATAACATTTCTATATCTGACCTTGGATGTCGTCCTTACCTGGCAGATTGCTGTTGTTTCTACCATGAGGTATGCGGAGGATGTTGAGGATGTAGCCGTCGTCTGTGGTAATGAAATAATTCTCACAAGGAAAACCCTTGCTAGTGATCAGCTGGGTCTGAAAATGTACAGGTATAACAATTACACTATTTAAATGTGCACTGGGAATTATTTTCACTGAAATGCCACATTATTTATACATGAATTGGTACATTGTGTTTATATGAAATTGGCACATTACTTATTTATTTAATGTCACATTTTGTATATATTTTGTTTCTTGTTCACCGGTTGTAAGCTCCAGTGGAAAGTTTTGGTTGTTTGTCCACCTCCAAACTTTAGTCTTCCAGAACATGAGCGTTGCATGGGTCACCCACCCAGTCATAATCTTTATAGCGTTACTTTAAAACAGGTATGTTTGTGCACCAGTGTAATAAATTATTTACAAACGTTATCAATGGCATATTTCTACCAACACTCTACTATAAGTGTCAAACAAGAGAGAAAACTATTTGCATGTGAAATTAAATGCCTCATTACAAAAGAAATATATTTCCCTGTGAATTCTTTTTCCAAAGATTAATTACATTGTGCCTATTTAAAGCAAGGCTGCGACATCTGTGCCTTTCTTCGACGTCTGAGGGCATTTGTTGACCAGGTTAGCCTTCCTGGTCTCCCATGTGAAACAAAATTTCTCATTACAAGAGAGGAATCTACTCCCATGTGAAACGAAATTTCTCATTACAAGAGAGGAATCTACTCCCATGTGAAACGAAATTTCTCATTACAAGAGAGGAATCTACTCCCATGTGAAATGAAATGTCTCATTACAAGAGAGGAATCTACTCCCATGTGAAATGAAAGGTCTCATTACAAGAGAGGAATCTACTCCCATGTGAAATTAAATGTTTTATTACAAGAGAGAAATCTACTCCCATGTGAAATCAAACATCTCATTACAAGATAGGAATCTACTCCCATGTGAAATGTTTCATTACAAGAGAGGAATCCACTTCCTTGTGAAGTTAAATGTCTCATTACAAGAGAGAAATCAACTCCCATGTGAAATTAAATGTCTCACTACAAGAGAGGAATCTCTTCTCTTGTGAAATTAAATGACTCCTTGCAAAAGATGGATTACACTGGAGGGTAAGTTTCATGGACCCAGTTATAAGTTTTGTGGTGCTGTTTGCAAAGACGAGTTTGCACACCGGTGTGCTTTTGGACATTGGTGTTGAACTGGCCAGACAGGAAGAGAGAGATGAATGAACAGTGGTTTGCTCTGTAGTGATCAACAGCTTAGGCTTTTGTTTTAGTGTGTTCTATTCTACAGGGATATTTGTAACCAGTAAAGTCAATGTCAACCACGTCGACGACTTCCACAAGGTGTTTTTCCAGTGTCCTAATTCAATCTGTTTAACTTGTACTCTCTTGCGTAAAGTAAAGATCCCTTTTCACGCCTTAGGCGCATCGGGCATATAGGAAGAGCACCCATATTTTTACAGACCAATCGGCACTAGGTGGGTAATGTGGCCGCCTTTACATCCATCCTGGTACCCATTTTAGGCTGGGTGGACCTGTGATGCCCCATACCATGATAAAAATCCACGCAACCAGCAGTGGGTTTCATCGCGGTACGTTAGAATTACGAGTCGGACTCACAACGCCTAAGCCACGGATGCCCCACTGTCTTGAAGAAGTGCTCGAAAAAGATCTGACAGCATGCACATCCATTTTACAGACCTGGCTTATCTGTATGCAGACTGTTGGCTCCTTGCCTCTCACGCAGATACACTCTGACTTTGAAGGATGCCCTCAGTTAGTTGACTCCTATGACATGCATGTTTGGAAAGCAGTGGGTCAGTTCCTGCTTTCAGCCACAACGGGGCTCAGGAACCCACAAACGGAACATTGTGTATATATGAATCCTCAGATTATTTATACATGGTCAAATTATTTATATATAAATTGTCACAATGTGATACAAGGTTTCCTTAACTTATAACCGAGTTTCGACCTGACTAACTAGTCATAAGTTGAACTGATCGTGTAACATTTATATTTTTAAAATTTTTTTCATTTAAATAGATTATTTAAAAATATATTTAAAACTCAGAAATGCAATCTATGTATGAGCAATTATTGTATAACATCATCATCAATTTCCACTTCTGCCATTAGGTGTTGTGGGGAGGAACAGTTTGCGATGCATTGCTTGATGGACAGAAATGGCTACTGACATTCCATGTCAATGTAGAAGCTCTTTAATGTCATCAATCCATCTTCTAGGGCTACCTCTTGCTTTCACTTCGGGTATTTTCATGTGTAGCGCCTGCAATGGTAGTTGTTCTGGCTGGATTCTTACTAAATGACCAAACCATCTGATCTTCTGTCTGTCTAATTTGCTGCATGGTGTTTCCTACAGTCTGTCCGATAATAATATTTCTAACCTTGTCTCAGATGGTTAAGTTGGCGCTTTTCTTGAGCATCTAATTTCACAGGTGTTCATTTTACATAGGTTAGCCTTCAATGATGTCCAAGTCTGGCTCTGGTAGCACAGTACTGGTATGAATATGCTGTTTATAATCTGTTTCTTGCGCGCTAATACTTATGTTTGGATATCTTAATAGCAGTGTAAGTTGGTATATAAGTGCACTGGTCCTTTGACATCTTGTTTTTCAATATCTATTCTCCCAACCTCCGAGAATATACTTCCTGGATATTTAAATTCTTCAACTTGTGAAAAATGATTCTTCAACTTGTGAAAAATGCATATTATGTACTCTATTGTATGCACTGTAAACAAAAATACAACCTGAAATTATTATTTAAAATTTATTTTTTGATGTTTGTAAGTGTGGATGGTTGTAAGTATGGATGGTCGTAAGTGTGGATGGTCGTTAAAGTATGGATGTCATTAAGTGTGGATGGTCTAAGCTGCATAGGTCATAAATCAAGGAGAAGGTAAATATGAATTGGCACAAAGAGTTATGTAGCGTACATTTATTGCTTCTGGCATTCATACACTGCTCACTGTTGTAACTTCTGCAGGTCCAACATATTTTTAAACATCATATGGCTCAACGGAAAAATCAGAGACATGGACAATAAACTAGCAGTTAGAAAATCATACTGTGTCTCTGGAGATGTGGGTATACATTTTGGAGAGAAAAATAGAACCACCCTCCTCCCCAACCCACCACAACCTATCAAAGCATGCCAAAGGAGGCAGCTAATTAGGGGTATTTTATTCAAAGTCAAAGTTCATCTGTCTGCCTGAGAAACTAGGAACCAGTTCTCTGCACATAAATAAGCCAGATCTGTAAAATGGATGTACACAAAAAACTCAAGCTCTGGATCAAGACCAAAATGCAGAAGTGGATAAACAACCAGAACTTTCCACCTGCGTTAACAGCCAGTGAACACTAAGACGAAGAAGAATATCAACATACGGCATTCATGTGTATTTCTGGATCTTCATGCAGAGGTGAATCAGTCGCCATATCCGTGTCCACTTTCATCATCTTTACTGGTGAGGTGCCCATCTTGTGATCAGGCAGTCGGCTAGAGGAAACTGGTACATGCACCAGTACAAAGAGCACAAGACCAAGTAGAGTGGTAAGATAACTTCTCATTCTGTCAAATATTCCAGTTTCTGAAAAAATACAACAAATTTTAATCCAGCATTTAATAAGCAATGATCCTTTTCCACACCTTCAGAAGACAGTACTTTATTATAAAGAACAGAAGACAGTACTTCACTGAAGGATGAAGAACAGAAGGCAGTACTTTATTATAAAGAACAGAAGACAGTACTTCACTGAAGGATGAAGAACAGAAGGCAGTACTTCACTGAAGGATGAAGAACACAAGGCAGTACTTCACTGAAGGATAAAGAACAGAAGACAATACTTCATAGGGCTAAACCTAATTTTCTAGACAAATCGGCACTTGGTGGCGATGTGGTCAACATAACGCTGGCCACCTTTGCTTCCCATGAATTCAGCTGTTACCCATTTAAGGCTGGGTGTCCTGGAAGCCAAGGTCATTATTGAAAAAAGTGTCTCCATCACGACCTGAACTCATCACCTTTGGATCCGCAGGCGAGCGTCAAGCCACTACACCAGGGCTATTTAACTGGAGGCCTAGCAAGTTTATCATGGATCACTGCCAGTTATATCGTCCTAAAGATGGAGCTTCAGCTTCAAGTTTTGGCCCCTGAGTAAACTTAACTGAATAACCTTGCTGCACCGTGGTATAATAGGCAGACAAACTGAAAAGCATTTACTGATATTACATATAATCCTTATGTCCTTTTTAGGATGAAATTTGTTGTTATTTGAAGCCCCACCCTGGCTTTTGCCAGGGGCCGCAATAAAGGCAGACCATAAATATGGCCAATTGTCTGAAAACGGTTTCTGGGACCTCTCCACAGTGATCCTCATCCACATGGTGGCACTTTGTGTCATCAGGTGTTTATCGCTTGTGTGATGTCCTGGTGGGGTAGAAAGTCAGTCAGTCAAAAGCATTTACAGAGATGTGGTTTCTAAGAAGAATGCACAGAATATTTTCGAATGATAGAATATTAAATGACACAGTCCTAGACATAGATGGACACCAAAAGATGATTAGAAAAGTTAAGAGGTAGAAAGTGAGTGCTTTTCTGGCATGTTATGGCAAAGAAGGGACTTAGCAATGACAGGTAAGACTGATGGCAGAAGAGTAAGGGGAGGCGAAGAGATAAAAACCTGGATAACAAATACCTGGATGGCTTCGTTATATGGATCGGATGAAACAAGAACATTGACTTGAGTTGTAACTCTAGTAATTGTGTGAGATGACAAAATATGACATTTTTTTTTTTCAGGGTACATGATGGTGATGATTACATTTCTAAAAGAACAATCCTCTTCTATCACAGCACAGACTCTCAGGCAGATTGCACTCTGAATTTGAAGGAAACCCTTAATTAGTCAACTCTTATCACATGCTTGTTGGATAGTTGTTTTATTGTTGTTTCCCACCCTGCTTATCCCACCCCCCCCCCCCCCTACTTTTTTTTTACATTTTTTGCCATTAAAAACAAGTCCTAGCTCTTATTAGCAGAAATAATAGAACACCAGTCTGCTGTTGTGACAGTAATAACAGAATTATGGGTATACTAAATCCTCAGGGACTAAATATACAATAAATTGTAGGAGACAGATGTGTTTTCCTGACTAAAGATTCAGAAATATAGAAAAGATGTCTTCAGGTACTTAAAGCATTTTGCATTATTTGGTGGTACTCAAAGAGTTGTGCATTGTTTGGTGGTACTTAAAGAGTTGTGCCTTGTTTGGTGGTCCCTAAAGAGTTGTGCATTGTTTGGTGGTACTTAAAAGAGTTGTGCATTGTTTGGTGGTACTCAAAGAGTTGTGCATTATTTGGTGGTACTCAAAGAGTTGTGCATTGTTTGGTGGTTCTTAAAAGAGTTGCGCATTGTTTGGTGGTCCCTAAAGAGTTGTGCATTGTTTGGTGGTACTTAAAAGAGTTGTGCATTGTTTGGTGGTACTTAAAGAGTTGTGCCTTGTTTGGTTGTACTTTTGGAGTTGTGTGTTGTTTGGTGGTACTCAAAGAGTTGTGCGTTGATTGGTGGTACTTAAAGAGTTAACATCTAAGATGAGCCATAAAAAGTATACATTATTCAATGATAAAAGTATAATTACAAACTAAAATTTTTCAACTTGATAACATGTTTTAAGTAATTTTTTTTTTTTTCTACAGAATCCGTCATTGCCTGTAGTATGTTACTAAGTAAATTTTAAGCTTCTCCCATTCTTAGTAAAAACAGTTTAAACAATCAGATATACACGAAAAATGTGAGCATGAAAGCAATGTTAATGAGAAGCAACTAACAAACATCACAGAAACTGGAGAAAAGCTAGAACTATTAACTTTTTGTGGTTGAAAACAGGGGTGACTACACTTCAGCTAATGACCACACAATTCACTAAACACAAACTGACTAGGAAAGTCAACAAGACAGCAGAAGGTTAAAAACAGTTGTATCTGTGCAAGATTTTACCTTCCCCTTCGAGATTTCTAGTCTGTGTTTAAGGATTTCCTTTATCTTCCTAAATGAAGATCAACTTATGCTACACATTACAAAGAGACATTGCAAAGAACATCCTTACATTCTCTCCCCCCCCCCCCCCCCCCCCCAAACATTTTGATGAGATAATTAGAGTAAATCTCTCCAAATACAAAAGGCAAGGGGAGCTTTTATAGCACTAAGAAATTGCTGGAGGTCAAAAGAAATAAAAACAAACTAAACTTACAATTTGTGATTCTAATCTCAAATCAGTACTGTTGTATAGAGGGGAAATGTGGACAACAAAGGAATTACTAATAAACTATAAACATTCATTAACTTGTGCCTGCGCTTAATAGAGAGAATTAAATGAGACACTAATGTAGAGCTTTGGAGGAGAACTTAACAAGTTCCAGTGGACCAAGGGGTAAAGAAAAGGCCTGGCACTGAATATGACACACTTTGAGAAAATCTGAGAACAATATAACTAGAATGTCTTTGCACTGCAACCCACACAGGCAAAGAAATAAAGGAAGACCAAAAATTCTAATGGAGAAGGGAGCTAGAGCGTGAAGTTAAAAGATGGGGAGAGCTGCATGCGACAGGGAAGGATTGAAAAACTTGGTCTTGAGTTGGCTGAGGGCCTTTGCCCATTGGGGGACAGAAGGCAGAAGAAGAATTAGAGTTAAAGAAGAATAAATTATTTTTTTCCTTTTTTTTAATGCAATAGGCTATGGCAGAAGTGACATATAAAGAATAGGAAAGTCCAAAGAATACATTCAGCAAAATGAGAAAACTGTCAAATTGTATCTATACTAAGTTCTATGTGCTGCAGAATTCCATGAAAACAAATGCCGATTATAAAACAAACATCTACTAACAAAAGTAAATATCTTTGCTAGATTGCCTGTAATTCCAACCAAAATTTCCAGCTTCAGTTTCCACAAATGTAATAATTCCCATTAAGAAAAAGTATACTGACAAAACATATTATAAATAGGATGAAAATCTACAGACAGAAGATACTCTTTTTTTTTTTTTTTTAAGTAATCAAAAGTTGCGATTACAGCCTTTCTGTTGAAGATGATCAATACATTATACAGTACTAATGAATGCAAGGACTAGTTCTATAACCAACTTAATCACAATATGGTCAACAAATTTGAGGACACACATTCAAATGATCAAAATAAAAAACGTCACTGAATGAAATTAGGATAATAAAAGAAAAGGGTATGAAATATACATAGAAAACACAATGGGCACTAAATGGGCACAAAAAAAACCAAACAACTGCGCACAAAACAAGGACACAACCGCCAATCAATTCTGGAGTTGACATACAATGTTAATAAAATACTGTATACTATACGAATGTCGGCTCTGTGGCTGTCGATGCAAACGCTTCGTGTAATACCGGGATGCCGGGTTCGATCACAGCTGCCGACCGTCCAGTTGTAGTGGCAAACTACTGGACGTAAATTTGCCGAGAAAAACCAAAACAGCCAGGGGCTGTTGGGGTTGGTTCTGCAACGTCCTGTAAAGTGCAACTAACCTATACTATACAAATACTATGTATATGTCGGCCTCTGCAGCTCAAGCGTTGCGAACGCGCTTCGTAATGCCAGCGTGCCGGGTTCGATTCCAGCAGCGGACAATTTGTCTTGCGTTAGTTTCGATAGTGGTACCGAGAGCTGATGGCAATGGCAAACTACCAAAAAATCCACAACAGATGTTGATTCTGCAACATCCTGTAAAGAATACGCAACTAATTAATTTTTTTAATTATGTGTACACAATTTTCAATAATATAGTATTTATACGCTACTTAGCTTAACATTAAATGACTTCACTCTTCGAATCTTTCGTTCTACTTTTAATTTGACACTTTACGACTTTTAGGCAGCCCCACTTTTATTCCTGACAGAAATAAAACACATAAATAAATCGCAGTACCAACAAATAACCGGTTAATTCACAATTCCAGCGTTGAGATGTCTCCAGGGGTATAAAGTCCACAAGAAGTATATACACAGAGACAACACTTGACGTACCGACTGGTAATAGTATATCACGAGGTAAACTGTAATCACCCTATTTACATGTGTATTTTCGTGTGATTACAACTTGCTCTTACCAATATCAGCAGCGACAATCTTGTTTTACCACGAAGTTATGAATAAAAAATCAGACATGGTGAGGTTATCACAGGTTTCTCTCTCTCTCTCTCAAAACTACGTTTAATATATCGTGCTGTTTGTCAACACAGCAGACCTTGGCCTCATTCTCAACAGCTGTACTTGACTGTTGTGCTGTAGTCAGTTCAGGGGCGTTAACACATAAAAGACATGGGGGGAAAGGGGTGGAAGGTTAGGGTGTCAATAATGTGCATATATTATGGCGGCCAAAAACACACCCTGACTTAGCCTCAGTCACATGTAAATTGCTGACTTCCGGCGACAACCGCCACCGCCGAGAGTATCTCCAATAGAAAACTAGATGGCTGGGACTCACGAGCAAATAAAGTGAAGGAAGCTGTAAGAGATGCGGTAGCTGCTGCTCAGC